AAGACGAAATTTTCTATTTTCCACTTTTTCCAAAGTTTGACTTTCCCAATCGAAAGAGGAAGTCAAAATTAGTCTAAAACAAGTTTTACATTTTCTCAAAAAGCAGATTTAAAAATTTGGAAAAAACATCCTTTTCAGAAATAGAAAATAGTTAATGTCCTGACATGATCTCAAACATTTGCTCACAGTTTCCGTAATTTTCAACGAATCAACTTAAATTATAGATATTCTGAAAGAGGATTAAATTCTCTATAAATCCTGCAAATATGAATTTATTTGCATTTATAGACTTTAAGAAATTAAGCCTCAAACTTAGAATTTTGTCGAAATTTCGTCCAAAACTTCAAGTTCAAACTGTTCAAAAACTATGGGTGATACAAATATTTTTCAAATACCACATTGAAGCATCCAATAAGAGCTACAACCTCAAAAAAATTTAGCTCGATACCTCTCATGGGTATTGATATATTACACATTGAAGAATTTCAATTAAAATATCAAAGGAGTTAGGTAGGTATAGTATGTAGATTTTTCAAAAGACGAAATTTTCTATTTTCCACTTTTTCCAAGTTTTGACTTTCCCAATCGAAAGAGGAAGTCAAAATTATTCTAAAACAAGTTTTACATTTTCTCAAAAAGTAGATTTAAAAAATTGGAAAAAACATCCTTTTCAGAAATAGAAAATAGTTAATGTCCTGACATGATCTCAAACATTTGCTCACAGTTTCCGTAATTTTCAACGAATCAACTTAGATTATAGATATTCTGAAAGAGGATTAAATTCTATATAAATCCTGCAAATATGAATTTATTTGCATTTATAGACTTTAAGAAATTAAGCCTCAAACTTAGAATTTTGTCGAAATTTCGTCCAAAACTTCAAGTTCAAACTGTTCAAAAACTATGGGTGATACAAATATTTTTTAAATACCACATTAAAGCATCCAATAAGAGCTACAACCTCAAAAAAATTTAGCTCGATACCTCTCATGTGTATTGAGATATTACACATTGAAAAATTTGAATTAAAATATCAAAGGAGTTAGTGGGTATATATGTAGATTTTTCAAAAGACGAAATTTTCTATTTTCCACTTTTTCCAAATTTTGACTTTCCCAATCGAAAGAGGAAGTCAAAATTATTCTAAAACAAGTTTTACATTTTCTCAAAAAGTAGATTTAAAAAATTGGAAAAAACATCCTTTTCAGAAATAGAAAATAGTTAATGTCCTGACATGATCTCAAACATTTGCTCACAGTTTCCGTAATTTTCAACGAATCAACTTAAATTATAGATATTCTGAAAGAGGATTAAATTCTCTATAAATCCTGCAAATATGAATTTATTTGCATTTATAGACTTTAAGAAATTAAGCCTCAAACTTAGAATTTTGTCGAAATTTCGTCCAAAACTTCAAGTTCAAACTGTTCAAAAACTATGGGTGATACAAATATTTTTCAAATACCACATTGAAGCATCCAATAAGAGCTACAACCTCAAAAAAATTTAGCTCGATACCTCTCATGGGTATTGATATATTACACATTGAAGAATTTCAATTAAAATATCAAAGGAGTTAGGTAGGTATAGTATGTAGATTTTTCAAAAGACGAAATTTTCTATTTTCCACTTTTTCCAAGTTTTGACTTTCCCAATCGAAAGAGGAAGTCAAAATTATTCTAAAACAAGTTTTACATTTTCTCAAAAAGTAGATTTAAAAAATTGGAAAAAACATCCTTTTCAGAAATAGAAAATAGTTAATGTCCTGACATGATCTCAAACATTTGCTCACAGTTTCCGTAATTTTCAACGAATCAACTTAGATTATAGATATTCTGAAAGAGGATTAAATTCTATATAAATCCTGCAAATATGAATTTATTTGCATTTATAGACTTTAAGAAATTAAGCCTCAAACTTAGAATTTTGTCGAAATTTCGTCCAAAACTTCAAGTTCAAACTGTTCAAAAACTATGGGTGATACAAATATTTTTTAAATACCACATTAAAGCATCCAATAAGAGCTACAACCTCAAAAAAATTTAGCTCGATACCTCTCATGTGTATTGAGATATTACACATTGAAAAATTTGAATTAAAATATCAAAGGAGTTAGTGGGTATATTGTAGATTTTTCAAAAGACGAAATTTTCTATTTTCCACTTTTTCCAAAGTTTGACTTTCCCAATCGAAAGAAGAAGTCAAAATTAGTCTAAAACAAGTTTTACATTTTCTCAAAAAGCAGATTTAAAAATTTGGAAAAAACATCCTTTTCAGCAATAGAAAATGGTTGATGTCCTGACATGATCTCAAACATTTGCTCACAGTTTCCGTAATTTTCAACGAATCAACTTAAATTATAGATATTCTGAAAGAGGATTAAATTCTCTATAAATCCTGCGAATATGAATTTATTTGCATTTATAGACTTTAAGAAATTAAGCCTCAAACTTAGAATTTTGTCGAAATTTCGTCCAAAACTTCAAGTTCAAACTGTTCAAAAACTATGGGTGATACAAATATTTTTTAAATACCACATTAAAGCATCCAATAAGAGCTACAATCTCAAAAAAATTTAGCTCGATACCTCTCATGTGTATTGAGATATTACACATTGAAAAATTTGAATTAAAATATCAAAGGAGTTAGTGGGTATATACCTATGTAGATTTTTCAAAAGACGAAATTTTCTATTTTCCACTTTTTCCAAAGTTTGACTTTCCCAATCGAAAGAGGAAGTCAAAATTAGTCTAAAACAAGTTTTACATTTTCTCAAAAAGCAGATTTAAAAATTTGGAAAAAACATCCTTTTCAGCAATAGAAAATGGTTGATGTCCTGACATGATCTCAAACATTTGCTCACAGTTTCCGTAATTTTCAACGAATCAACTTAAATTATAGATATTCTGAAAGAGGATTAAATTCTCTATAAATCCTGCGAATATGAATTTATTTGCATTTATAGACTTTAAGAAATTAAGCCTCAAACTTAGAATTTTGTCGAAATTTCGTCCAAAACTTCAAGTTCAAACTGTTCAAAAACTATGGGTGATACAAATATTTTTTAAATACCACATTAAAGCATCCAATAAGAGCTACAACCTCAAAAAAATTTAGCTCGATACCTCTCATGGGTATTGAGATATTACACATTGAAAAATTTGAATTAAAATATCAAAGGAGTTAGTGGGTATATATACCTATGTAGATTTTTCAAAAGACGAAATTTTCTATTTTCCACTTTTTCCAAAGTTTGACTTTCCCAATCGAAAGAGGAAGTCAAAATTAGTCTAAAACAAGTTTTACATTTTCTCAAAAAGCAGATTTAAAAATTTGGAAAAAACATCCTTTTCAGCAATAGAAAATGGTTGATGTCCTGACATGATCTCAAACATTTGCTCACAGTTTCCGTAATTTTCAACGAATCAACTTAAATTATAGATATTCTGAAAGAGGATTAAATTCTCTATAAATCCTGCGAATATGAATTTATTTGCATTTATAGACTTTAAGAAATTAAGCCTCAAACTTAGAATTTTGTCGAAATTTCGTCCAAAACTTCAAGTTCAAACTGTTCAAAAACTATGGGTGATACAAATATTTTTTAAATACCACATTAAAGCATCCAATAAGAGCTACAACCTCAAAAAAATTTAGCTCGATACCTCTCATGGGTATTGATATATTACACATTGAAGAATTTCAATTAAAATATCAAAGGAGTTAGGTAGGTATAGTATGTAGATTTTTCAAAAGACGAAATTTTCTATTTTCCACTTTTTCCAAATTTTGAATTTCCCAATCGAAAGAGGAGTTCAAAATTAGTCTAAAACAAGTCTTACATTTTCTCAAAAAGCAGATTCAAAAAATTGCAAAAAACATCCTTTTTAGCAATAGAAAATGTTTGATGTCCTGACATGATTTCAAACATTTGCTCACAGTTTCCGTAATTTTCAACAAATCAATCTAAACTATAGATATTCTGAAAGAAAATTGAATTCTCTATAAATCTACCAAATCTGAGTTCAATTGCTTTTATAGGCTTTGAGAAATTGAGCTTGAAAATAACTGTTTGCCAACCCTGCACTCGCTTCAGAACTTCTACTCTTCTTATTATTAAGCTATGACCACCCCACACTCACATCAAGTAATAGACAAAATCAATTATAATACTCCCTTATAATTTTCTATTTATTTCTAATAGATTAAGGTCAAAAGGTGAAATTTGAGTACCTATATAATACATTGTGTAAAAGCTTTAAAGGATTGAACTATTGAACTAATTACCATACAAAACGCAGCCACATAAAGACGTGTCCTCTGACAACAATCGTCGTCGAAAAAAAAAATCCGGGCCTACGTATGGGTGGGTGTAGAAAAGATGTATGTAAATTCTAGTTATTATGAATAAGCTAATTAGAATAGTCTAGATTTTTGATGGCAAATTTTACCATTTCGATGTGCGTCACAGAAAATCGAATGTGATTTAAATTGCTCTATTGAAAAAAAACAAGCCGAACTTTGCAATAATTGCATACAAATTAAATTATCTAAGTAATTGAAATTCGCATCATGCAAAATTTAATTGATGGGTAGGTGTGTTTAATGAATTATCAAATGTAACGAAATTCAAGAGTCTTGAAAAACTTTCCTTTGATTTGAAGTTATTTTTTAGTCCCTTGAATTTTCCACATTTTCCAGGTGAAATTTATGGAGAAACTTAGAGAAAGACCTGGGTGTTTGTTCAACTCTAATTTCCTTCTCTTCATCAGGCTTTGTAGACTTCCATTAGAATAGGATTCAATGATACAATAATTGATTTTTCAAAGCTTCGGAGTTTAAAAAAATAAAATTAAAAAGCATCACGTTTACTAAAACCACAAATTTATAATTCGCATAATCAAGTACTGCTGGGTATACACGCATCTAGAAATAATTATAAATAATTAATAATAACAAATTAACGATAAAGATCAATTTTTAAAAGTATAAAACATAGAAAAGCACAGCAAAATATCTCAGTTGACCTCATAGTCGTTTGCGGGCAAGGATATCAACTTTACTTATTTGTGGAAAATCCATCAAGCACAATTCATTAGTGTTTAATGAATTGATTCTAATACAACAATGTGGTCCTTTTATGTTTTTTCAGTGCTTTATTTTATAGGGGGTAAGATTTTTCAATTTTCAATGTGACCTTATTTGATCTTAAACATTTAGGAGTTCGATCCGCAATTGACGAACGCCTTAAAGACGATTTCTTCCACATTTACAAAAATGCAGCAATAGAAACGAGAGACATCCAAAACCGACCAGTAACAGAAGACCAAGTAACATTTTATCTTTACACTAACGAAAATCCAAAGGAATTCACTGCAATTGATTCAAGTAAGTAATAGATAAATCACTGATAAAGATAAAACAAACATTTCAATTAACTTGTCTTATTTCACAGATAACTTGGAAAGATTTAGGAACTTCACCAATCAGATAGTGTTCCTGATTCACGGATGGACAAACAGCAGGAAAAGTGAGTGGTTGGAAAACATGAAAAACGCTTTTTTAGTAAGGGACAAAAACAGTTTTGTTATAATTGTGGATTGGGAAGATCCTGCCAATCAATTGTATTATGTTTCTTCTATCAATACTTATGATGTTGGTAAGTAAAATGGCCATAAATTAGATTTACAGTATAATATATTGGAATAATTTTTAGGCAAATTTATAGCAAAACTTCTTGTGAATCTTTATAAAAATTATGGAGTTGACAAAAGGAATTTCCTTATAGTTGGACACTCGTTAGGGGGGCAAGTAGCTGGCTTTATAGGCAAACAATTCAAAAAACAAACTTTACAATCTTTGCCAAGGATTATAGCTTTAGATCCAGCAGGTATTAAAAAAAAAACACACTTTGTAAGTTTCAATTATTAATTTTCAAATTTAGGTCCACTATTTACAACAAGACCCTTAAACGAACGTCTAAATAAAGACGACGCAGATGTGGTTGAAGTTGTTCACACAAACGGTGGTACTTTTGGGTTCCTGGACGCTTGCGGTACCATTGATTTTTTTGTTAACGGCGGCAGCAGCCAACCGGGATGCAAACGAATCGATTTGGCGGATTTGGTTGGGAGTGTTCAAGAACCATGTGAGAATAATTGATGTTGCTAGAATCTTTGATAGGAAAATTCAGATAATTGACGAACATTCCTAGGGTGGCAGTGGCAGATTTTTGAGTATAAAGTATTTGGGGAGTCTTTGATGCAAAATTTTTGCTGTCAGAGTATCTATATAACTATAAAATTTTCATAGGCAGACATCCCACAACCAAGACAGTACACAGACATCTTAAAGACGTCCACAAACGACATCTTTTAAACATCTGCTTACGTATGTTATAAAAACCAACATATTTCAGACGTTTAACTAAAGGTTTCCTTATTATTACTCATTTAATAACTTTCAGTTTTTGTCTATTTCAGGCGCTAGGCTCTCTGCAATAATTCTGAGGTTTTTAAATTGTTTTGAAACCTTTCAAAATACTACTGAAAGCTTTTTACAGCGTTCTAAATGGTTTATTGAAGTTCTAAAGTGTTCTAGAAGTTTTTCAGTAATTTCTGAATATATTTTTGAGTATTTTTAGAAGCTCCAAAGTGTTCTAAATTAGTTCAAAAGATTTCTAAAAGGTTTCCAGTTCTAAATTAAATCCTAATTATTCTAAAATCGCTCTTGAAAGTGTTTCTGGAATTTTTGAGTGTTTTAACGCATTCTAAAATAATGGGTTTCAAATTGTTCTGAAATGCTTTTGGAAATTGTATATCTGTTTTTGAATGTCTTGGGGCATTCTAAAATGATTCTGAAATTTCCAAAATGTTCTCTGAACCGCTACAGAATCCTTTGGAATGTCTGAATTGAGTTGTAGGTGTTTTGAATTTTCCAAATAAGGACTTATTAAAAGTTCTAAAGTGTTCTGTAGCATTTTAAATGGTTTCCCAGTAACTTCTTAATTGAATGAGAAAGGAATTCTGTAAGGAATTTTTGTAGACATCTTGAAGACGTTCACAAACGATATTCAAGACGTCTTGCTTACGTCCTTTAAGGGATCTTAAAAATATCTTGACAACGTTTTTCAGACGCCTGCCTAAAGAAAAAGATGTCTTCAGGACTAAGACATTCTTGAGACGTCTTCAACAAGATGTCTTAAAGTCTCTTTAAATCTCTCCTGAATACATAAACCATTATTCACTTTTAGGCCTGGTTGTTTCAAATATTTGTCCTTAAGATGTGAATATACGACATCTTCTGGACATCTAAAAAAAAACGTCTTTAAGACTTTGTGTGCTGGTCTGGGTAGGATTCAATTTAGAACTGGAAACCTTTTAGAATTCTTTTGGACCAATTAAGAACACTTTGGAACTCCAGTAGGACTCTAAAACACTTAAAAATCTGTCAGAACAATTTAAAAATTACTGAAAAACTTCTAAAATGAATGCTTTAGAACTTTTCATTTTTCAAGCCAAGTTTGGAACACTTCAGAACATCAAAAAGCCCTTAAGTGGCATTTTGAAAAACTTCAGAGCAATTTATAAATCTCAGAATTATTTCAGAGAGCCTAGTGCCTAGAATAGACAGAAATTGACAGTTATAAAATGAGTAATAATAAGGAAATATTAGCAATAATGTTTCTCTTTCAATTCAAATTATTGACTTTTTGTAATTTTTGCTATTCTAATCCTAGCCTCCCTCTATAAACGTAACTAGACTCACTCTAAACGTAACTCCCAAAATCCTGCGTTACAGATCTTCAAAGCTCTTTAAACTTTAAAATGACTTTTCCTAATTTGGTTTTTGTCTCTGGATATTTGAAATTGCTTTATAGAGATTCCTCTAAAAGTCAGAAATCAAGCATAAAAACATTATCAAAAATTGCCTATATTTTAAAGTATTTGTCTTTGGTAGCTCTACATTCTTGTGAAAGGATCTAGTCGCCCTTCAATCATACATGAAACGTACCTCTAACATCAAAATTAAATAAATGGCAATTTTTTCTGAATTACTTTTTATTTTCAGAAGTTTGAAACTCCTTTAAAAAGCACTTTAAGCTCTTTGGAAAGTCAAAAAAAAAATTCTCTTATCAATTAACTCAAAGTTAGGTATATTATAAAGGCAGGCGGAAATTGGGGATAAAAGTTGATCCAAAATGTTGTTTGTCTCTCGATATAACAAGCAATAATTTTTTGTGAAAAGGGCCGAAATTAAGCAAAAAATCAAAAAGTCCTCTGCTTCAGAACCTGAATCCCAAGTTTTTCAAGAAACTCAAATTTTTCTTTTCCCAAAAGACCTCTGGTATATTTAGTAGGGTAGATTTGTAAGACAAATTTATAGTAGATGTACTATCGTTTTCAGCAGAGTTTCTGTTATTTTTCCCCCAAAATAGTTGGAAACTATCTTATCTATTTGAAAGCCTCTTTGTGTTACAATCGGGCTTAAATTTGCTGTAGAAGACTAAAGTATCAATTTCTGATTTTTTTTCTAGTATTGTGTGACCACCGAAGATCATGGGCTTACTTTACAGAAGCATTACTGAACCCCACCGAGATGGTAGCTCAAAAATGCAACAGCTGGGCTGAATACAAGATAAGCTATTGCGATAAAGTCACAGTACCAATGGGCGACCTGAATACCACCCTGACTGGATCATTTTATTTGAAAACCAACAAAGAGCCACCTTATTCTAAGAAACTTTCCTCCGGATTCAGCTTGTCACGATTGATATCGTATTAAATAATTCCAGTTTTGTATAAATAAGAAAAAATGCAATTATTTTTTTATTACAAATACATATGTACAATTCGAATAAAGGACAAGTAAAAACTAAGATTCAACCAATTAAGTTTAAAAAAAAAACAGTACAAAAACATATAAAGTCACTTATTAGGAAAATTTGAGGTACACAATGCCTAAAAATTAAATAACTTGTTCCGCGACAGGAATTCGCTTAACATTTTCAATAAACCTAATCAGCTCATCAATTTTAGCCTCAGTCGACTTATTGATTTGCGTCAAACGTTGCTTGTCCTCGTCCTGGTTCTTAAGAATAACAGTCAATTCCGAATGGCGGTTTTGCAACTGAGTCAATTCCGCCAACAGTTCCGCACGCTTCTCTTGACATTCCCGTTTCAATTGAAGTTTTTCTAGAATTTCCTCAGGCGTTGGACTTCGGTTTGAATCGACGGACATCGGCGAACTACAAGATGTACTGCTGCTGCTGCTGCTGCACGCCAAAAGTTGATCCTCCTTGATCTTGGCACGAAGACACTTGGGACATTGTTTCGGCGTTCGGGCGAAAGGACGATTGTGACAGCTCATGTGGAATCCGTTCGTGCAATGTTCGCATAGTGATAGTGCACCTAGAACAAAAGGCGCTGTCACCTGAAATTGTACAGAATCTAGATTTTCATATTATTACAAAATAGATTATAAATCTAGTTTAGTTCATTAGGAGAAAATATGATGATGGAAAAGTTATTTATTTTTAACTGGATTACTCAGTAAGAGAAAGTATTCAAATAATTATATACTTACCAGGTTGCTTGCAAATTATACATCTTTGAGAATCAGGATTGTTATTAGGACTGATTGGTTCGATGACTAGTCCAGGTGGCAAATTTTTCAAAGTTGGTAATAATGGTATAAAACCGCTTACTAAAAAAATATATAAATTCAATTTAAAAATAAAAAGCACTATATATTATACCTCTATTATCAATAATTGTTTTATCACTATGATTGCCATTGGTAGTAGCAGGTGGTGAAACAGACTTTTTGATAATTTCTTGCTTTTTGCGTCCTCTAGTGTTGGGTGGTGAAGGAGGATGAGCCAAGAAACTGCTACGTTTTCTTTTCTGTAATATCAAAGATTAATAAATTGATATCATCAAAAAATTAAAACTCTATACTTACCACTATAGGTCCTAAAAAGTCCCAACCCTTATTACCATAAAGAAATTGAGGATTCACGGTGCTTCTTCGTTTCCTTTCGGCCCTTTTTTTCTGCATTTCGGTGAAATTCTCGTGAGTGGTAAGACGGAAATAAAACAAAAACGAATTTTGGTTTGTATCCTCGGGGTTGATGGGGTGGTTTTCTGGAATGGGCAATGGGGATGGTGACCTCGTAATTTCCGGTTCATTTTCGTATGAGCGTATCGGTGAGATACGTCTGCGAGGTAGCCTAAAAGAAAGAATCATTCAAAAAGAGGTTTTTTTTTTTATTTTTCTTAAAACTTACAAATTTTGTTTACGGGTTCTGTTTATTGCATAGGATAAGTGGTGTTTGCGTTCTTTTACCGCACTGTTGACACTTGTATTTCTAACAGTGGCTTGATAGGTTTTGTATTCTTGTCTCAGTCTACGAATCAGCTTTCGCTAAAAATATTTTTTTGTTTTGTTACAGTTTCATAATGTATAGAAGTATACAGTATAGTCATCATATTGAACATAAAACTAACATAAGTGAGCTTAAATATTGAGATTACTACTGTGAAGGAAAGATGAAATGCCAAAAATTCCAGCTCAAATTTCATCCAATCACAAACATATCATTAGTTTTTAATAAATTAGAAAAATCTTAAAGGGGCATAGAATATCTTAGAGCTGAGTTCCAGATCTCACAACAGTTTTTGGACTATTTTAAAGGTATTCCTCCTCAATATCAATGACTAACAACTGCTTAATTTTTAATATTTTTATTTTTTTTTTTAATTTAAAATAGGTATTTGAAAAAAAGTTGGAAGCATGTAAAATTTCACATTTCTGACACTTGAATTTTGTTTCTGACCATGGTTTCTAAAAATTTAACCAAAACTGTACAACTTTTGTATTTACAGCTTTCTTCTACCTGTAAAGGTAAAAGGTAAAGGCTATAGGTGGAGTATTAATATATAAAAAAAACACCCTGTACAAATAAATGGATTATTGCGGGACTTATGGGTGGACCTCTGCAGGACGAGCGCAGCGAGTTCCGCAGTCATCTTCTCACCAATATACTGTTGAACTGTTCAAGTAAGACATTCGTCTATATGCAGTTTTTGAACTAATGAGAAAAACTCACAACTGAGAGAATCACGTTAATATTGTACTTGAACAACATATTGGTGAATAGATGGCTGCGGAACTCGCTGCGCTCGTCCCGCAGAGGTCCAGCCATAAGTTCCGCAACAATCCACTGGTTTGCACTTGAATAATTTGTCACATTATGTTACTAGTTTGGTAAAGTAACATTACTAATTCCTGTTAAAAGGCAAATTGATAAAAAGTGGATAATCTTACTAATTCTGACTTTATATAATAAGTTATTAGTTATTGTTCAACTACAAATAAGTGGATTGTTGCGGAACTTATGGGTGGACCTCTGCGGGACGAGCGCAGCGAGTTCCGCAGCCATCTACTCACCAATATACTATTGAACTGTTCAAATAAGACACTCACCTGAAACACGTAGTTTTTAAACTAATGAGTGAGTCAGGTTAGTATCGTACTTAAACAACATATTGATGAATAGATGGCTGCGGAACTCGCTGCGCTCGTCCCGCAGAGGTTCGCCCATAAGTTCCGCAACAATCCACTCGTTTGTACTTGAATAACTTGTTACATTATGTTACTAGTTTGGTAAAGTAGGTAACATTACTAATTCCTGTTAAAAGGCAAATTGACAAAAAGTGGATACTCTTACAAATTCTGACTTTACATAATAAATTATTGTTCAAGTACAGGGTGTTTTCTTATACAGGGTGTCCCACAGTTTCTCTCAAGTAATAATTTCGGAACGCGTCATCCAATATAATTGAAATTTTGAGGATCTGGCTGGGTAACTTTTTGTGTCGCTTCTACTATTGTTTTCCAATTTCACCACTTTCGCTTCAGTTTCGGCCAACTGACATGAACTTTCGAATCTTAAATGTAACTTATGGTATATTATGGCATTAGAAAATTAGAAAATTAAATAACAAAATCGGCGGTGCCATATTTGTTAAGGCTTTGGTATAGAAAATAATAAAAAATTATACGGTGGAACATACGATGGTGTGTTCCGAAGTTATCATTTGGGAAAACCTCGTGGGACATCCTGTATATTGACACCTCATTTACAACCAGTGGCGGACCTAGGACCTTTGGGGCCCGACGCATAAAAAAATTTTGGGGCCCTATCATGTTTTTTTTTAGTATTTTTCTTGTGGTGCTAGAGACAATAGCTGACGTCACACACATAACCTCATTTTTGATAGGGGGACAAACAAAGCGTTTGTTTGTCTCATGGCCGTTTTCATCAACTATTTTAGGGAAGCCTTAACGATAAGTATTCCTCAAACTGATATTTCTCCATGGAAAACTTAGGAAAACTGTCATTTTAAGGAATACTACTTAAGGCTTCTCTAAAATATGTAGTTGGCGAAAACGGCCGTCAAGTTTGTTTGAGAGAGGTAGGTTGTCTGATAACTTCATGACGTCATCCGGGATGCCTGAACATAATGCAAATCTCCATAGGGTACCCCAGATGCCTCATTAAGTTACCCATTACCAGGCAACCTATCAACTTTAGGAACCTTGGTTAATGATATGTCTGCCCCCCGAAAAGTGACGTTATGTGATTTGTAACGTAATAGCTATCGCCTAACCGATGTGTGTAATAGTCCTTAAACGCTTTGTTTGTCCCTCTTTCGGAGGTGTGGTTATGTGTGTGACGTCAGCTAGTGCCTAATTGAAAAACAATTTTATTAAAAGTCAGGCAAATAAAAATTTGCCGAAGAAAAGAATGCGGACAAAAAATTGACAGGTGTGTCAACTCCTCTTCTTTGACAGTACATCCATAAAGCGATTGGCTGCAGATGATTCAAATCCATTATCGCTACCTTTATAAAAACAAGTTTGACAAGGTTCACGATACAACCCACCAATCACCATGTGTGTCCACCATTTTTCTGCTCTTCGCTCCTCAGACGTCGCCGGCAAAATTAAATTTGCTAGACTGTAAGAACATATGAGACAATATGAAAACAAGTTGAACGAAAAAAATTATTATTTGTAAAAATTCAGGAACTTTCCATCCAAACAAAAAGAAATATAACATGTAGTAGTCTCCACCCCCACTTACGAAAAGATCAAAAAAGTAAAACATGCATCCCGCGCGTCCGCGGTTGCCACATCGCATCGAACACAGCAGGATTCCTTAGAGGTATACAACGTTGCCGTAACTTTCAAAATTTAATTTTCGATTTTTTTCATATTCACGAGTGTTTTTTTTATTAATTTTTTTTATCAATGCCTTTAGAATCTGGTTGTGTGGGGGCCCCTCAGCTCTGGGGGCCCGACGCAGAGTGCGTCCTTTGCTTCATGTTAGATCCGCTACTGTTTACAACCCTTACCTTTACAGGTAGATGAAAGGTGTAAATACAAAAGTTGTACAGTATTGGCTAAATTTTTAGCATTCATGGTCAGAAATAAAAATTAAATGTCAGAAATGTAAAATGTTGCATGCTTTCAGCTTTTTTCTAATGGGATGCCCTATATTTTGTTCTATATTCTTGAAGAGCACAATTTCATGATTGCAAAACTATATAGTTTGTCTATATTTGGTTGAGCCGTTTCCAACATATTTGGTTCTAAAAATTTTAAAAATAACTATCAGAGAAACCAAGTACCTCAAATTTTACCTGCAGCTTTTACCTATACAGGTAAAATGGTTCACAAAATCCGTGGTAGGATAGTATTTTTACAATTTTTGGAGCCGAATATATGAGAGACTGTTCAATCAAATATAGACAAACTATATATTTTTGGAATCGAGGCATTGTCCTCTTCAAGAATATAGAATTGAATATAATCCCATTTGAAAAAAGCTGGAAGCATGCAAAATTTCACATTTCTGACATTCAAATTTTGCTTCTGACTATGGTTTCTGAAAATTCAGCCAAAACTGTACAACTTTTGTATTGACACCTTTTTTCTACCTGTAAAGGTAAAGGCTGTAGGTGGGGTCTAGGGTGGGGTGTCAATATATAAAAAAAACACCCTGTACAAATAAGTGGATTATTGCGGAACTTATGGGTGGACCTCTGCGGGACGAGCGCAGCGAGTTCCGCAGCAATCTATTCACCAATATGTTGTTCAAGTACAATATTAACGTGATTCTCTCAGTTGTGAGTTTTTCTCATTAGTTCAAAAACTGCATTTAGACGAATGTCTTACTTGAACAGTTCAACAGTATATTGGTGAGTAGATGGCTGCGGAACTCGCTGCGCTCGTCCCGTAGAGGTCCACCCATAAGTTCCGCAATAATCCATTTATTTGTACAGGGTGTTTTTTTATATATTAATACCCCACCTATAGCCTTTACCTTTACAGGTAGAAGAAAGGTGTAAATACAAAAGTTGTACAGTATTGGCTAAATTTTTAGAATCCATGGTCAGAAACAAAAATTGAATGTCAGAAATGTGAAATGTTGCATGCTTTCAGCTTTTTTCTAATGGGATGCCCTATATTTGGTTCTATATTCTTTAAGAGCACAATTTCCTGATTCCAAAACTATATAGTTTGTCTATATTTGGTTGAGCCGTTTCCAACATAATTGGTTCTAGAAATTTTAAAAATACTATCAGAGAAACCAAGTACCTCAAATTTTACCTGCAGCTTTTACCTGTATACGTAAAATGGTTCACAAAATCCGTAGTAGGATATAGTATTTTTACAATTTTTGGAGCAGAATATATGAGAGACTGTCCAATCAAATATAGACAAACTATATATTTTTGGAATCGAGGCATTGTGCTCTTCAAGAATATAGAATTAAATATAGAGTATCCTATTTGAAAAAAAGCATGCAAAATTTCACATTTCTGACATTCAAATTTTGTTTCTGACCATGGTTTCTAAAAATTCAGCCAAAACTGTACAATTTTTGTATTGACACCTTTTTTCTACCTGTAAAGGTAAAGGCTGTGGGGTGTCAATATGTAAAAAAACACCCTGTACAAATAAGTGTATCATTGTGAAACTTATGGGTGGACCTCTGCGGGACGAGCGCAGCAAGTTCCGCAGCCATTTACTCACTAATAAGGTGGGGTGTCAATATATAAAAAAACACCCTGTACATAGTTTATCACATTGTTATATGCACATCGCCAACCAAGAGACTATACCATATGTAGCCACAGATTCAAATAGGGCGTAGTACATCATCAACAGGGTTTTTGTGTCCAATATGTGTTTAAGGTAGGGTTGCCAGACCTCCAATTAAATATGAGACTCATATATTTTAACTGTTTCTCATATCTCATATTAGCATGTTTAATATGAGACTATTTCTCATATATTTTCATTTACAAAAATCATGTATATCATATATCACTACCATACATGTGATAGGCCAGAGTCTCATGCGTCCCATCCAACCGTCTGATGGTACGACGGAGCTCCTATTGGCAGAAAAATTTCCCGCCACTTTCCGAATATTTTCAACTTTTTCCGACGTCGTCGAATAAATGATATTTTACTTTTGTCAGAGATTTGTTTAAACATCAAAAAACCCAAGGTGTTGTCCTCAAGAAGAAATGACTGATGGATCAGGAGGAGTATTTAACTACCTAAACGAATGTCCAGCATACATTCCAAATCTGTTAAAAATCATAGCGCTAATCGTCAAGATGGGAGCTTTTTCGGATTTGGGTATTTTGTAGTACATAAAATATTCTCATATATTATTATCCAATCTCATATAATTTTATACCGGCTCTCCTATTTTCAAAACTAAAGTATCTGGCAACCCTAGTTTAAGGTTTTTAAAAACAAATATTAAATATCTCATTTTCTTATTCAAACCAATTATATGTTGCTTCCATTTCATGTTATTGTCCACTATAACAAGTAAGCACTTAGCTTAGTACTTCTAGTACATTCCAATGGTCTGCAGCTACACATATTACATTTTTCATCCTAATCGTGAATAACTAAGATCCTAAGACTATCAGGAACTTTGTCATTATACATGCTAAACAACATACAATTAGTTTTCCCTGCATTTAGTGACAATTTATTTTTCCTTATGGACAACCAAAATGAGACACACTGTACTTTACAACAAAACTGTTTTCTGACTATATCCAACCAAATGAACTGACTATGGTTTGTTATTTAATTCTGTGCGAAAACAGACCTTTAGAATCTTCTCTAAACTTTGAAAAGCAATTTTTCTCAACTTACAGGAAATTGGTGGAAACTGCCTTAAGTCAAAAAGATTTTCTCATATTTTTCGCTGATTATCTATCTACTCATCTATAATGTCCAAATATTTTCTTCTTTTTCCCATCAGAGAAGTTTTGGTTTTATCGCTTGATGTATTTTAGTTAACTAATCTTTTTGTTTTGAGTTTAAGAATTTTCTTTATAATAATTTTTTTTTGAGAAGAAATAAAAAAATTGATAACCAGTTATTTGTTTTATTGGAATAAGATATCTGCATATACTCAATTAGAATGGAAAAGTTATTTAATCATCCAAAAACATGAAAATAAGAAAGAAAAGAAGAATAAGTAGCTAAAATCCCATGAATTTGTATCTGCCTTATTAAAGTTATTTACTTTAGTTTTAAAAGTAAATTTTTAGGAAGGTACCAATTATTAGTATCCTTAAAATGTCACCACATAAGTAAACTTTGTTTTGGTTTTAATTACTCTGAAGCTAGACCAGATCAAAGTTCTAGATTTTAGTATCAAAACAAAGTCAAACTATTGTAAATAAGTTGATTTTAATTTTTACAAGGTCTCAGCCTACAGCAGATGGACTCATTTTTAAAATAAAAGTAAAGATACATTTTGATAAAAGTAAAAGTATGGTTGCTATTACGAAAACAAAATCTCTTTAACTATGAATAATTATTACTTTTTAATATTGTCCAAACTTTTTCCATATGGTTATTAATACTTTTGCATTAAAAAATAAAATATTGAAAACTTTAATTAAATTGTGCCTGTTGATAATAATTGATAATGTGCCAATTTTGAGGTGCATTTTATTTAAACAAAACCACACCCGTAAAAAATTATCATGTTGATTCATTAAAACTGCCTAAATTGGATTTTGATAATGAATCAAATTAGAATACTTTTATAACTTAAAAGTAATTATACAAAAGAAGTAGGTTAAGTAATGTTAAATTACCTGCTTATATTTGATATTTTCCCATTCTTGTTTAGCTTCTTGAAGATCAGAATCTAATAATAATTGTTCCGCTGATTTCTGAAATTATTAAAATTTTTAAGAACAATATAAGCAAGATGAAAGCAATTTTTTAGTTTTACTTTGTAGTAGGAAATTTATTATACTTACATCTGCAGGCTCTTTTTTCTTTTCTTCTATTAAATGCTGTAAACAAGAAATCAAATATAAATTAAGAAAAATCAATTAAATTTTAATTTTAATATTTTTTTTTTGTTAAAACAATTTTCCAAAAAGTTTCACTTTTAAGCTTTTTAATGTTGCATGGGTTCTATCTGTCCTTATTTAGCCCATATGAATCTTAAAGGAAAATTGCCTTGCCAACTACTAAATACGTGAAGAAAAAATTATTCTTACAGGAAAAACTTACATTATGATATCTGAGAGCGTTTAATATCTGAAATTGAACATTTTCAATTTTACTTTTAAGTTGACTTCCAATTTCCAAACACTCCATTTTTCCATTTTCTTCAACTTCTTCGCCGTTCATTGCCGTAAACTTTTTTATTTATCGTTGTTTTCGACACGGGATTTCTCTCTATATAGGTAACTAATAACGTTGTGTGAAGTGAATCGGCGCACGCTGCGAACTTGGGACTATTCAACTACGGAACAAAAATTCGATAAATACGCAACTTTTTCGATAATAATCAAACTGAAGGAAAACTTTTACCAAAAATTTTAACAACACACTAAAAACTACCTGCTCGAGGAGTCGTCGTGAAGTTTACATTTAAAATAATTGAAAGATTTTTACTAAACTTCATTTGAGAAAATTTTTACCTGTAGGTGGACGTTCGGATTTCTTTACGACTTTACCCGAAAATTAATTAATATAAACAATAATTATTTAAAAACGCAACTTTAAAAATTTGATTAAACAAAACTAATTACAAAACAAGTCCGGCCTTGCCCTGGAATGTATTTTATAAAGGGCGTGTACCCTAACCCAACTTAATTATGATTTTAAATTTGAAAAGCAGGTAATTTCTGGCGGTTGGTACCGAGAAGGGTTGTGGTACACTGGTACTCTCGCAATAATTGGGTCTTGCAAAAAGTTATTTGAAAATTGCGCCAAAAATTACTTTTGATTCGAGTGCGTAAAAACGTTTGGCAACATCGCCGATTTTGGATTATTTAACTTTATTTCAAGATTGCTAAAAAAGTCAAAACTAATTGAATAATAAAGCTCTAGAACAAATAATTTAAACATTTTAGTTTGTTTAAAATGTAATTATTGAATATATTTTTTTTAAATTTAAAACAAAATTAAAGTTGTTGATGTTTGGCAACGTTGCAGCTATCTCAATTCAAATATTTTGCTGACAACAACAAACAGGCAAAATGTGCATTTTCCCTTTTAGAAACTGAATCAGACATTTAAAAATTAAACAAATAAATGGAATTTCCTCAAAAAACAATGTAATTTCCTTGTAAATTTCCAATTTAAACTTGTAAAATTTCCAAGGCGCGTGCGCCCCTGTATTACCCACAATTCAGTTGGACGTTAAAAATTGACGGAACAAAAATCAAAAATTGTTTTCTACTTAAAAGTGAAGTGGAATTTTTTTATTTTTTTGAAAAATAAGACAATAATTATTGTTTTTGAGTGTTGCACGTAGGTAAATATAATACTACAGTTTGTTGTGACTGTTTTAGCAAGTTTGTATTAGAGGGCGAAGCCCTAAAATTGAGAAAAATCTGTTTCGTATTTGGTGGCCTTCTAAATTTAAAATTTGAAAATGGTGCTATAACAAATTCAAATTTCTTATAATGTAAATTGTAAATTACTTGTATTTTGTTGAAATTAACGGCAAAACCCATTATTTATAATTATTAGTAATTATTTTAGACTCCTTTTCTAACTAATGTTTGTTTACCAATAAAAACATTTAAATTTTTAAAGGAAAAACTTAGGTTAAGTCAGTCACAGATTCGCTCCACAAAGGTATTTCAGAACTGGTGAAAATTTAAAAACTGCAATATTTACTTATCCCAAATTGCCAATAATAGCTATTTAATGAATAATGCTCGATTTGAACAAATTATTTGATATTAATTAATAAGTTATTTAGGGTGGCCTTAGGATGTTTTAAATGTAATTCAAAATATTGTATTTTTTCTAGTGACTAGGTAGTTACTTTATGCACTCTCCAAAAGACATGAAACATATACCTACCTATTTCATACATTAATGCGTTAAGTAATTCGCTACACAGTTTACACATTAGTGCGTAAAAAATCGCTGAAAAAGTTTAATAAATGGTTATTTTCTTAGTTGATTTGCAAAAATGCCTAATAAATACCCATAAATACATGTACAGGGTGTTTTTTTTATATATTGACATCCCACCTATAGCCATTACCTTTACAAGTAAAAGGTAAAAGAAAGGTGTAAATACAAAAATTGTACAGTTTTGACTGAATTTTTAGAAACCATGGTCAGAAACAAAATTTGAATGTCAGAAATTTGAAATTTTGCATGTTTCCAGCTCTTTTCAAGTGGGATGCCCCTATATTTCATTCTATATTCTTGAAGAACACAGTGCCCCAATTCCAAAAATATATAGTTTGTCTATATTTGATTGAACAGGCTCTCATATATTCAGCTCCAAAAATTGTAAAAATACTATCCTACTACTGATTTTATGAACCATTCTACCTGTACAAGTGAAAGCTGCAGGTAAAATTTGAGGTACCGTTTCTTTAATAGTATTTTTAAAATTTTTAGAAGCAAATATATTGGAAACAGCTCAACCAAATACAGACAAACTATATAGTTTTGGAATCGGGAAATTGTGCTCTTCAAGAATATAGAGCCCAATTCAGGGCATCCCATTTGAAAAATGCTGAAAAGATGCAACATTTCACATTTCTGACATTCAATTTTTGTTTCGGACCATGGATTCTAAAAATTTAGCCAATTGAACTATCCAAGATGCTGTCAAACTTGAATTAAAATGGCCGCCAAGAGGCACACAAACCCTTTTTTTATGTGTCATTCAATGTGTCATGAAATTTTTTTCAAAAAAATAGTGCTCATTGTTCATTTGCGTTTTGATACTTGTTCTTTTTACTTGTATTTTTATTAATGTTAGAAATAGAACAGATCCCTAGGGCACTCCTGCAGTGATATCCAACCCTTCTGAAGTACTGCACCCCTAGAAGCAGTACTTCATGACAGACACAATCGAAAGCTTTTTTCAGGTCACAAAAAACTACCGCGGCCACTTCTTCGTCATTTATCTTCTAATACAGCTCATCCAGGAGATGAAATATGGCATCATCAGTGTTTTTTGACTGCTGAAACAGAGACAGAGAAAGCAATTTATGTCTTTCAAGGAAACTCACCATCCACCTTAATTAGCCACTCTACAATTTTAGTCTAAGTTGCCAGTAAGGCTATTGGCCGGTAATAAGATGGTAAATTCTTATCACCCCCCTATTAAACAAAGGTACTACCCAAGATTGCTTCAAAAATGAGGGAAAACTTCCGGTAAGAAAAGAATTAATAATGGAATCTGCCAACACATCAACAGCCTAACTGAGATATCGTCCCATCCAGAAGATTTTCTATTTTTGATACTCAGTTTCTGAGCAATCGTACAGTAGTATGAATTAATATTATCTGCTTTCAAATTGGAAGCACATAATTATGTATATATTTTTTTTTTTTTCGCGTAGGTCGTTACTCTTTTTGTTTATTAGATGCGAATGCCCAACCTCTCGTTGTAATAAATCTTCCTTGCCCGTTTCATCGTCTTTCTGTAGATGCTCCTGTATCCATTATTTAAAGTAGGTAGCACAACACTGGACGGTGGAGTTGCAACAAATAAATATTTTCACATTTTGAGGGTAGGTCCTGGGTGTCCAAGTGAAATGTAGGTAGAGCAATCTTGCCTAAACAATAGGGATTCCGTAATTGGGTAGAAACGGCCAAAAATTGAGACGCACACAATAGAGAATGAGTATTTGATTATGATCATTAATGACATAACCTAATGACGTTATGGTTTGTGTTTGTGTCAGATGTTTGTGTGCCCCTTGTCGGCCATATTTGTGTCACGTGTTTTGGATAGTCTAATACTGTACAGGGTGGGCATTTTATTAGGGGCCTATGTCTCAGAAACTACAGGGTGTACAAAAAAAATATAAATACAAAAGTTTCTTGGTTTTAAGCAATGTTGTCAATTATTTGAGTTTTATTTATACAGGGTGTCCCAAAAGTGCTGCACTGACTCCAAAACCAGAATTTCAAATGGAACACCTTGTGTATTTTTACATTTTTGGATTCCTGGAGAAAAATAAAGGTAACTTTCATAAGGACTCCCTATTCGAATTTTGTGTAATTTAGGCAGAAATTGAGGTTATGTATTTTTTTTAGAAAATTAATGCCCTCAGCAAACAGTGTCTTGCGCGGCTGGTAGTTGAGATTATTTAATAAAATTTAAGCCACACCTTAAGAAGACTACCTCCCAACGATCTACAATGGCTAGGTGCTTTAAATTTATACAGAGTGTCTCAGATAATAGGAATTTTTTTTCAATTTTCGATTTTCAATATCCAAGTTTTTTTTAATGGAACACCCTATATTTGATATTTGTTTGTTAAAAAGGCTAAAAATACCTATCCATTCATATACAGTGGCCGCCAAAAAGTTTGCAACAAATGGAAAAATATTTTATTATTAACATATAAAAGAGAGTGTTACCTGGGATCGATTCAGCATACCCATCAACAAAAAAAAAGCACTGTGACAGATGTCATGTGACCACAGTTATGGCGGGAAATTTAAAAAGTTCGCCTTAAATATGTAAAAAGTGGGGTTAGATGACCAGAAACCGAAAAATTGTAGAGAGAAAAGTGGTTCAGGATTCGATTTTACGTCTATGTGTGAATTTTTAAAAAGGTACAAGGATTTTTAATAAGTATCAATTTTTTTGGCCTGTTTTCTGGTAATTTGAAAAATGTCTTTTCGCTTGGTTCACATTGTTCAAAGTGAAACTAACCAAAAAAAAATCCAGTGCAGTCATTCTGCTTAATTGTCCCGCGGAAAATTGTAAAAACCCAAAAATTCATTTTCAGACCACTCTGATCTTGTTGCAATGACCTACAGAAAGCAAAAATTTGAAATAACAAATTTGGAATTATCATAAAATCTTTCTTCTAAATTCAGTTAAACCAATATTTTTCCGAAAAGTTTTTAATATTCTCCAAATTACCAGAAAACAGACCAAAAAATTAATATTTATTAAAAATCCTTGTACCTTTTCAAAAATTGACACATAGACGTAAAATCGAATTCTGAACCACTTTTCTTTCTACAATTTTTCGATTTCTGGTCATCTAACCCCACTTTTCACATATTTGAGGTGAACTTTTTAAATTTCCCGCCATAACTGTGGTCACATGACATCTGTCACAGTGCTTTTTTTTGTTGATAGGTATGCTGAATTGATCCCACGTAACATTCTTTTTCTATTTTGGTTCCATATCGAAGTCTTTTCGACACTAAAAGTAGTTTCGAAAAGAAGCTCTTTGTGACACTCCTTTTTTACTTATCGGAAGTTTGTAACACTGGCTGACTGATGGCCATCGAACTGTCATTTGCGATTTTATTATGGTAAAAATAAAAATAAAAAAGAAGATTTCTATTTTTGGCATGTAATGTTACCAACCTAAACATGAAATCAGGAAATATGAGAATAAAGTTTCCAAGAAAAATTTGTTTTTTTTTAATTAAACAATACCAAAATAGAAAAAATAGTATAAAATATTCGTTTCATAAGACATTTTATCGCACTCGCCCTTTAGAAAACTCGCCTCCGGCTCGTTTTCTAATATAGGGCTCGTGCGATAAAATGACGTCTTATGAAACTTGTATTTTAATGTACTATTTTGATATTTCAATAATAAAATATTTTCCCATTTGTTGCAAACTTTATGGCGGTCACTGTATATATGTATGTCCTATACCTGAATCTAATATTTAGTTCACGAAATATTTAGACCACTTACTTCAGCAATATATTTTAATATATAATTTCAAAGAATAATCTTAAAAAAATACATCTCCACCTAAATTAAAGCTAAGTAACAGACTAAAGTAAGTTTTCAATATGTCCTCCATTTTGAGCTATGCATGGAGGACATATTGAAAACTTACTTTAATCTGTTACTTAGCTTTAGTTCGGGTGTTGATGTATTTTTTTTACGATTATTCTTTGAAATTATATATTGAAATATATCAGTCTAAATATTTCGTAAACTATTAGATTTAGGTGTAGGACATATATATATGAACGGATAGGTATTTTTAGCCTTTTTAACAAAAAAATATCAAATATAGGGTATTCCATTAAAAAAAACTTGGATAATGCAAATTAAAAATGTTTAAAAAATGTCCTATCATCTGAGACACCCTGTATAAATTTGAAGCGAATAGCCATCGTAGATCGTTGGGAGGTAGTCTTCTTAAGGGGTAGTTAAAATTTTATTTAATAATCTCAACTATCAGCCGCACAAGACACTATTTGCTGAGGGCATAAATTTGCTAAAAAAAAATACATAACGTCAATTTCTGCCTAAATTACACAAAATTCGAATAGGGGGTCTTATGAAA